ATACCCTGTAGGCTAGTTGGACACAATATTTCATATACTGTTCAAGAGAGAGAATCTGGGAAAGACTATTGCAATGATGTTTGGCCAAGGACCAACTGGTTGAAGGGATCTGTAAACTTTAAGTTGTTATCTAATTAAAGTATCAATGTTGCTTTCTTTAAAAGTTAAAAAATACCACACATTTGACAATTTAATGCAATTTTTGAGGATTATATTGAACAATGTGGAAGCAAATAAATTGATCATGAGATTATGGTTTAGTCTACTAAGTGGGAGTAATTATGTAAGCGCCTAAGTCTAGTTATAAATTCTGGTATTTCTTGTCTTTCACTAAGATAACTTCTCATTGAAAAAAACGCAATATAAATTCTATAAAAACAATAGAAAATAAAATATTTATTCAAATTCTGATTGTTTTTATGGCAAATCAAAGATAAAATATACATAAATATTTAAATTCTACTCTAAGTGACAGGTTATGAATATTAATGAAGAAGTAACATTTTAGACTTCCCAAGAGTAAATAGAAAAAGATATGAAAAGCCTTAGAGATTAATAAAACATGTATAATATGAGTAAAATATCACAGATATGTGTATATAAAACTATATTCACTCTACTTCAAGATATCCTCATACAATAACTGGAGTCCATTGGGAAATCTTCTACCTTCTAATTTACAAGATAGATTATCTTCTGATCTATTTCTGACTTTAAAATCTGATATTGTATTCATTAAAGAGATTGTGTCTGCTGATTTCAAATTATATATAATGGAACTTCAGCTCTCAGAAACTGTAATCACACTTTTAGCATCTATGACACTATAATAGCCATAAATACACATTAACTAAATTTCAGATAGATGATCTCACCAAATTATTAGTTATCAAACTACAATGCCATTTCTTCTGATAACCTCTTTGAGAATGTTGATTAATTAATAACTTTTACAGTTGGTCATTGTGTACATTTGTGTACAATCAGAAGTAAAAATTTCAACATTACTTTTGTACACAGACTTATCACTTTTTGTTAACAGTGTGTAATAAATTTTGGTTTTTCAGTAAATTGTAAATTTAACTTCTTATCTATTTGTAAATAAACATTTTAAAATGAATATTGTATAGGTTTCTGTAGTCAGCTGGCCAGGTTAATATACCTATCAGATGACTAATTGAAAATGATCTAGAACAGCTTAGCACCTTAGTTTCAACACCGTTATTATATTCAAGGTAATAATTAGCTATAAAGAGCTTATTAAATGATGCTAATAGATAATCAATGTAATTAGCTTAAAGACATTATCAACTGTATCATATAACATAATAACTACATCAAAAACAATATCTATATTGATTCTTTAGTAAATAACTAACTCTTGTCAAGGTTTTATCTTAATTGTAATAAAAATGCATTGAGGTTGCACATTCCAATGTCGTCTTCTATACTATCTGATGCAGCAAGAGGTCCTCCATAGACATCATATCATATTTATATTTTCAAATTTTTCAAACAAAATTTCTCTTTTTTTGGGTTCACCATGAGGCATTTGTCTCATTTGCCTAAATGTACTTATGGCCATGACTTTTCAGAAGCTGAAGTTTTGAAACCTAGAATTTAAATCCTAACAATAACTGTGTTCCTTGAGTAAAATATCATAAACAGTCTCTTTTATTCTTAGCTACATGCATGTATGAAGATAAAGTTTGTCAATATCAAATTATTGTTTCTCACAAAAACATGTTGATCAAATTGTACAATCTCTAGGTGCATCTCTTATGATCCACCAAGGTATATTAATCCATTGATACAGCAAGCTGATATATTTGACTAATAACCCCTATGTGCTAGTAGTGAGGTATTATGGAGTGAAAGCACTGGCCGACTCTTATAAGCACTGGCACAGGCATCAACAATCCAACTCGCTTGTGACTGAGCTATTCCACTGCCGTGAGGTATTAGGTCTGTTATTGTCAAATTTGAAAGATAACCACTAATATCAATTTTATTGTGCAGATTTATTTTTCATGATCTTTAATCAACAATTTTACAAGCAGGTTTGGAATGAAAAATTTAGTGAAAAAAATAAAAATTCTATAAAAAATATAAAAATCATATCTTTTCCAAAATATACTTGCCTGGAAAGATTGATGATTAACAAAATAATTTAAAAGTGAAAATATAAAACATCATTTACAGAAATGGCATGGAGATTTTTGTCAACTCACACA